TATCAACAACAACAACAATAATGTCTACCTGAATGTAGAACGAAAAAAAAACGAAAGACTTTTTTTTGTTGTTTAAAAAAAAATAAAGGATGAAATGGAAAATAATGGCATCCACCAAATGTGCAAGTGTGTGTGTGTGTGTGTGCTAAGAATGGTGATGATGTTGGCTAATTGATATGATGATGATGATGATGATCATTTAGTAAGTGAATGAAAAAAAAAAACAGAAAAAAAGGTTTCATATAGAATGTTTGGTTTCTATTGTGTCTATTTAGTATTTATTATTTTTTTTTTGAAGTTTTCTTTCCAGTATTCTCATCGTATGTGTGTGTGTGTGTATGAAGAACCAATATATGAAAAAGCAATATTTTTGTTTTGTTTTGTTTATATGTAATGAAAGTGTGTGTGTGTGTGTGTGTGTGTGTGAGTTAATTGCTCTCCAGAGAGTCATCATCATCATCATCATCTCTATTCTTCACTTTCAGTTTTTTATATTTTTTTTCGTCATTCTAATAATATAAAAAAATTAACTACTACTACTACTGCCACTGTTCCACTAACGGATATTTTCTGGATCATCATCATCATCATTGGACATAAAAATGATCATCATCAAGCAGTTCGATCACGCTTAGTATTTATATATATATGAATATATAAAAAAAACTAGAACCACAAGAATAGCCATAAATAGTCCAAATGGATAATAATATATTCTTTTTTGATGATGATGATGATGATGATGAGAATATTGAATATAAATCCAAGAATAATTTATATCACTGGATTGTATTCTGGTTCACATTCTGTGTGTGTGTGTGTGTGTGTATGAAACGAATTGGTTCAGTGGAACATGCACCAATTTGAATTGAATTTTTGATGATTTTTTTTGTTGTTGTTGCACGTTTTTTTTTTTTTTTTTTTTTCTTGTTCAAGTACACATAAAACATGTTTAAAATCAAATGTCAAACTATCGATCTATTTTTTTTTATTATTGATAAAAACAAAATGATCAGATGATTTATATTCACCTAGATGGCGTTTTTGATGATTGGTAGAAAATTTCATTGCCCATAAGACAAACAGATGGCGCATCTGATGTGATGAACATATACAACAACAACAAAAAAATTTTGATGAATTTGAATAGCCGAGAGAAAAAAAAATTCAATCAAAAAATGCAGATGATTGAAATCATGGAAAAATCATTTATTTTAGTTTTACAAACAATGATGAAATAGTGGGTGGAAATAAAAAAAAAATTGTTAACAATCGATTGTTGTCGATTAATGTGACCTGGCTATCAAGCTATCTATACAATTATTTAAACGATAATAATCGATGATGATTATACGTCATGAGAATTATAATGCAACAATGATGATGATGATGATGATGAAACGATTGGTAAAAACGAAAAAAAAATTTTCGTTTTTACCCATTTTTTTTTGTATTGCATTGAATTCTTTAGAATTACCACATTTACCATTATCATCATCATCATCATTACTATTATTATAATGAATCATCATCAATGGAATGATGATGACGATAATAATAGTGAACAAAGTAAAAAAAAACCCAATAATTTCCAATGAGTTTTTTTTCAACCTATCTGTATATGTGATATATCATGAAATCAAAAAATGAAAAAAAAAAAATTATTATCATCATCATCATCATCATCATCATTATCATCATCGGTCAAAATTGTCCATCCATTCATTCGTTCATTTCATTCGGACAATTTGAATTTTGTGTATATATAGAAAATAACGATGGATTTTTTTTCTCCAATGTAATAAAGTTTCTTGTGATGATCTACATGTGTTATATGTACAGATGTATGATTGAAAATCAGAACAGAAACCGGTTTCAAATCCGAAATAAGATTTATCCTGTTGTCCATAAATTGGTAGAAATTTTTTTTTTTTTTTTTGTACAATAATTTACGGGTGAAAATTTCAAAGTTAAAACGAATGATGATGATGATGATGATGATGATGAAAATCAATCAATATATATTGTGTGTGTGTGTGTGTGTGTTCAATATAAACAAATGAGGCCGTGTGCGATAACAACGACAAATGGTGGAAACAATGGAAAAAAAAAAATTTCAATCATCAATTTGTTTAAAAAGCAAAAGAAAAACTTATCCAAAAAATTTTTTTTTTTTTTCGTTGGAATTTTAATTTCTCTTGAACGCACACACACACAAATTTTGATCTTAAAATGTTAAAAAAAAACAATTGTTTCCAGGAAAAGTTGATAATTTTCTCACATTTTTTTTCGGTCGTTCCTTACATTTGTATATAGTTTGTTAAAAAAATCCAAAAACATAGATAAGTGTGTGTGTGTGTGTCTGTGTCTGCGTGTGTTTTGTTATTTTCCACCACACACACACATGCAAATGGGCAAACAAAAAACAAATTTGACGAACGGGAATGGGCCACACCACGAACTTTGCCTTGTCTGGAATATAAGAAATCATTGAATAATAATAATAATAACCTACACGTACGAATAAGAGAAAAAAAACAAACAAAAAAACAAAAACAAAAAAAATAAATAAATACAAAAACATATGCATATGTGTGACCTGGTTCCTTTTTCTAATGGGCAGCATTTATTTTATTTTATTTTTTTATTTTGTTTTTTTTTTTTTTTTTCATTCAATTATCATTTTTCTCACATTTGACTATGAGAAAAAAAAAGTTAATACCTTCAATGATGATGATGATGATGATGATAATCAAAAAACAGAAGTGACGATAATGTTGTGGTCAAACAGAAATAAATGGTGGATCACGTGATGTATTTTTTTTTTTGAAAATGACCATTGAACGATAGAGAGAAAGAGAGATAGAGAAAATTAGTTGGAGATCGAAGTCAGTATTGTTTGTCGTCGTCGTCGTCATCAGCATCATTATCATAATAATTTTTTTTCAATCAAACAAAAAAAAATTTCCAAATCCAATGAAATGGAATTGTGATTTTGATTACTTGAAGAAAGACCATCATCATCATCAGTACAAGTCATATATATATGTCTGTATGGCCATAGTTTATCGGTTATGATGATGAAACTGATGAATAGACAGAAAAAAAACATAGGAAAAAAAAGCAAAAAAAAGTGGTTATTCCAGGTAATGTTCAATACATAGGATTCAATTGTATCCTTCATTTTCTTTTACATTTTCTCCATTCATTCATTCATTCATTCATTCAACTGAAGATGTGAGCTCGATCAACCTGTTGCTGCTGTTGTTGTTATTGTTGTTGTGGTTGTTGTTGTTGTTGTTGTTGTTGTTATTATTATTGTGATTGTTATTATCATCATCATCATTTCAAGACTTGAATTTTCTTTTTCGTTTTTTTTATTCACACATTTCCTAAAGAAAAAAAATTGCAAAATGCAAATGTAATTTAATGGTGGTGAATGTAAATGAAGAAGATTTTTTTTCCGTACATTTCGATCATCATCATCATCATCATCATCATGAAAATCGTAGCTGCAACAACAACAACAACGACGACAACAACAACAACAAAAATCGACAATAGAAAAGAAAGAAAATTTGTATAATCCAACGTCATCATCAAATCCAAGTTTTTTTTTCTTCATTTCATTGTTCCTGGAACCTCTTTCTTTTATTTTTTTGTTCTTCTGTCACATTGTGATGACCAAAACAACAAAACAAAACAAAACAAAAAAAAATGTTTCCATGTAGGTGAATGAGAAAAAGGGAACACGAACAAAAAAAAAATTTTTTTTCTTCTTCTTATGATTATGATGGATGTGTGATAATCCATTTTCAGTAGTTGTTTTTGTTTGTGTTTCTACTTGATGTTCAAATGATGATGATGATGATGATGTGATTATAGTGAGAAAATGATTTTTTCTTCTTTTGGTTTTTTTTTCATTTCTGGAATCAAATTTTTTTTTTTTATTCGCAGTTCACATGATGTGATGATGATGAATCACAGATATCCAATACGATAATCCATCATCAAATAGTGTGTGTGTGTGTGTGTGTGTTTATAATCTTCAGTTCAAAAAAAAAAAATTCGTTATCAATTTCTTTGCAACAAAATAAGAAAAAAAAAATTTCAATTTGTAATTTGTAATCATTAAAAAAAAAAAAATGGTGATGGTCAAATTGAAAAAAAAGAGAAAAAATTTTCCATGAAAAAAAAATAAAATAAAATTCAACCGATTGCTTACTGATTATTCATGATATTATTCATGTTCAATCAAAAAAAAAAAAAAAAAATTATTTATAGTTTACCACTGCCACTAATCATCAAAAATCATCATCATCACTGATGATGATGATGATGATGATGATGATGATGGTCATCGTCATGATCATCATCACGAGTTTTCTTTCTTCATTTTTTTTTCTGTGGTGATGGTGGTGATTTCTGGTTTTCAACTTTTCGCTATAAAATGATTTGAATTTGAATTGTGAAGAAGAAGAAGAAAAAAAAATTCATATGCTTTGTGTTTGCCTGTTTGTTTTGTTATTATTATTAATAACCAATTTTAATTTGAATTTGATTGGTTTTTTTTTTGGTTTTGAGAAGAAAAAAATACATTTTTTTTGCCTAAAAATTTAAAAAAAAACGGTGCAAACAAACAAACAACAACAACAAAAATCTCAAGACAAACAAACAAACAAATAGAAAGTATAAATACAGCAAAAAAAAAACAAGCATTGAAAACAAGTTTCTCACACTAGAAAACACCACCACCACCATCATCGCCGCAACATCCATCCATCCATCCATCCATCCAAACTATCCTTTTCTTCGACAGTTTTGTCCATATACATATATATTTTCATTCATTATACTTGATAATGTTGATGATACAACGTCTACGACAACGAACAACAACAACATTCACAACACAATAACGGAACAGAAACCGATCCAAAAAAAAAAAAGAAAACGAAAACGGATAACCAAGAAAAAATTTTTTTCACCATTTTTTTTCAGATTGTTTTGTTTTGTTTTCTTTTTTTTCGTGTCTCGACTTCCCTACAAAGATTATCATCATCATCATCATTATATTGTTTGTGCTGTGCGCGTGTGTGCATGTTAGTCTTTGTCGTTTTTTTTTGTTCATCTGTCATAGAAAATTGTGTTCAAATAAACAAATTTTTGTATTCTCATTCTCATTATACATTCACATCTTGTCATCATTACAACAGTCCGTCACCGTACAGTTTTGAATTTTTTTTTTTGATTATTCTTCCAATTATAATTAATTCTTGTCGCAACGAAAACGAAAACCAAACAACTAAACAGTCAACAATATGGATATTGATAATAGTTTATTGAAATTTACCATACGACAAGGTCGTAAATCTGAACATAGTGTTGAAGAAATTGAACAAATGATGCCATCATTACCATTGAATTGTCCATTATCACCATATCGTCAAATGGCATCATTTGATTGGCGTGATTTAAAATTAGTTATCGATGGTGAACAAGTGATTAAATTTCGTAATCGTATATTTCGTACATTGGAAAATGATCCATTATTTCAACGTTCACCAGTGGAAGAATTAACACGTGAACAGAAACGTGAAATTACATTTAAACGTTTAAAACGTTTAATGGAATATAATCTTTTACCTGATGATGAATTTATTCAGAATCCATTATTAACTCAACAATTGTATAATGCTCTTGGTCAATATGATTGGTCATTATCGGCTAAACAATTTCTTGCACGTGAATTTGTTACAATCAGTTTACGTGGTGCTGGTTCCAGTCGTCATTTAGCCATTCTTGATCAGATGCTCAGTTTTGAAGCAATCGGTTGTTTTGCTCTTACCGAATTATCACATGGTTCAAATACAAAAGCAATGGGCACAAGAGCCGATTTTGATGTGAACACTCAAGAATTTATTCTCAATACGCCTAATTTTGAATCAACAAAAGTTTGGTCCGGTAATATGGGCCAAACTGCTACACATGCTGTAACATTTGCTCAATTATATGTTAATGATCGTAATCATGGTCTTAGTGCATTCATTGTGCCAATACGTGATCCAAAAACATTGTTGCCATATCCAGGCGTTATTATTGGTGATATGGGACCAAAAATTGGTCTTAATGGTCTTGATAATGGATTTGCTTCATTTAAAAATTATCGGTTTGTTTTTCATTCTAATCGAAAATGTAAACTTTGAAAAATTAACAATTTTTTTTTATTAAATTTTAAATGTAGAATTTCAAAAAGTTATCTTATGAATCGAACTGGTGATATTGATTCATCCGGTGATTATGTTACAACAATCAAAGATAAAAAACATCGAACCGGCATTACATTGGGTACATTATCGATGGGAAGAGTTGGCATCCTTTCAATATCGGTGGCAAATATGAGAACAGCCATTACAATCGGTATACGATATTCAGCTGCACGTCGTCAATTTGGACCACGATCAAATCCAACAATCGAATGGCCTGTTATTGAATATCAAATGCAACAATGGCGTCTTTTTCCATATTTATCAGCCACTTACGTTTTAGATATTTTCTGTCAATCATTCTTGAGAGATTTCTTAAATTTTCAAGTAGCCGTATTGTTTGGTACTAGTTCACCATCATTGGCTGAATTGGGACAAGAAATACATGCTGTTGCATGTGCAGCAAAACCAATTTCCGGTTGGTTATGTCGTGATACAATACAAGAATGTCGTGAAGCATGTGGTGGCCATGGTTATTTGGCTGCATCACGTCTCGGTGAACTTCGTGATGATCATGATGCCAATAATACATATGAAGGCGATAATAATGTTTTACAAATGCAGACAAGTAATTTTCTTATTGGTAAATATCAAAAATATATTTCTGAACAACGAAATGGAAATGGCAATGGTAATGGTAATGATGTTTCCAATGATATTTTGGATGATCTGATTGTCGCTGATAATAATAATAATGATTTTAAATCACAAATGGGTTCCATTGAATTTCTAAATGATGTTGATAATAATGTCAAACAATTACGATATACGAATGGTGAAGATGTTTGTAATATGGATTTTATATTACGTACATATCGATTTCTTGTTTCTTATCTTCTATTACGATCAGTTGACAAATTGGATTGTGAATTGAAAATATCAATGGGTGATTTATTTGTTGCACGTTCTAATTCTCAAGTAGGTCAAATAGTAGTGTATTAATCAATTAACACTAAATGTGAACGGTCTAATCTTTTTTTTTCTTTTTTGTTTTTGTTTTGTTTTTTTTTCTTGTGCAATTTTGCCAATGAAAACAATTTACATATATAGGTTTATTATTGCCGTTCATTATCATTTGCATTTATTGAACATTTTATTATGTTACGTTATTCAAAATTTTTAAATGAAGAATTAGCAGATGATGTACCAATGGCTATAAGACAAGTACTTCAACGTATGGGTATTCTTTATGGTCTTTGGTCATTGGATGCACATTCATCAATATTATATGAAGGTGGCTATTATGATGGCCATGATGCAAATCGTTCAATACGTACAACAATATTACAGCTTTGTGAATTGATTAAACCAGATGCCGTATCGATTGTTGATGCAATTGCACCACCTGATTTTATACTTAATTCTGTATTAGGTTATGCCGATGGTGACATCTATCGTCATATATATCAAGCAATGACAATGAATACAAAAACATTCGAACGTGCTGAATGGTGGCGTGATTTTACCAATGATAAACCGGCTGTTGCATCATTGGAACCGATTGATAATAATAATCATCAAAATGAAAATATTGATCAACAACAACAACAACAACAGGCCAAACTTTGAACACCTTTGTGTGTGTGTGTGTGTGTGTCAATATACTCTACTACTTAAAAAATGAAAAAAAAGTGAAGAAAAAAAATTTCAAATTTTAAATTAGGTTTCAACATTTTTTTTTAAATTAGTTAATTGTTTGTTAATTGTCAAGAATTTTATCATTCTCGTCACCATTAATGCAATAAGTGTTGAATTTTTTCTTCTGTTTGTTTGTCATATTTATTTATTCATAAGTTTTTTTTTATTCTTCTTTCTTAGATCAATGAAATAATAAATGATGATAATGATGATGATTTTTCACTTATTTTTTTTTTCATTTCAATATTGAACATTTGGACAATAACTAAAACCACGACTATGTTCCTCATGATAGGTGGTAACATTGGCCAACAACCAATAACGACAACGTAATAATCTTGCCGATGATTTTGGTTGCCGTTGACGAGTGAATATTCCTTTTTTATTACCACCAACTCTTGTTGTTGATTGTTGTGTCATAAAATCTGCAAAATTCCATATATGTTCACCGATAAAGAATCCTTTCGAACGTAATATATCGAATGCATGATGATTTTCAAGCATTATTTCAGCTTGATAATCTTCAGTAAATACAAAACTTGGTTCCATATGCATACCACTGATTGTATCGGCACCATATTCAGAAATCATAACAGGTTTTTGATATTTTTGCCAAATTTTCACAAAATCATTTACAACATTTGTCTGTATTGCTTGTGGATAGCCATTATCAATATACCAACCATAGTAACGATTAACCATTATAACATCTAATACTGGTGGTAAATAATCCTGATTATATTGATTATCAGCTGCCGTTATTGGCCGATTCGATACATCCAATTCACGAGCAAGCGAAGCAACTTTTTGGAAATAATTTTCTGATTCTTTCATTGATGATTTGGCTTCATTGGCTATAGACCACATAAATACTGATGGACGATTCTTATCTCTTTCAATCATTTCACGTATGGTGATTAAATGTTGTTTCAATAAAATCGAATTGAATGACTTCAAACCAACGGCTGGACATTCATCAATCACAGCAATACCTTGAATATCAGCTTCATCCATTAATTGTTCAGAATATGGATAATGACTTGTACGAAAAGAATTTGCACCAATCCATTTAATAAGATTATAATCTTTAATAATCATAACTTGATCTAAACTTCTGCCACGTATATCATATTCTTCATGTTTTCCAAAACCACGAAAATAAAATGGTTTTCCATTGACAAGAAATTGAAAATTTTCACTATCCACTTGAACAGTTCGAATACCGATATTTTGATAATAACGATCAATTAATTTATTCATTTTATCGTTTGTATGATATAAACTTATAGCCATACGATAAAGATAACCAGGTTCTGGATGCATTGTAAATGGCCACCATAAATGTGCATCATTTATGATTAATGTACTTTCAGATTGTCCACGTGAACTATTCATCAATTGACCATGGCGATCAAATACATCGATTTGAACAACATATTTATCATGGACATTTGTCGTTACGTTAAAATGAATAATACCATCTACATGATTATCGTTGTCATCAATATCGGTAATAATAGTAAGATCAGTAATACGAATTTTTGGTACAAAATACAACAAAACCGACCGTTGAATGCCAGCATAATTATAGAAATCAAAACCAAAATTTGATTCAATAAATTTATGATTTGGTATTGTACGTGAATCATATTTCACTTTATAAGATCCTTGTGGTATTGTATTCTGACTTAATTCATTATTAACAGCCACTGTAATATGATTCACATGATTACCATCGTAAAGATAATCAGTAATATCCGTTTGGAATGGTAAATGTCCACCAGTATGATTCATAACATGTTGGCCATTTATCCAAACAACAGCCTTATAATTAACTGAACCAAAACGTAATATAACATCCATTTTATTTGAATGAAAATCTATTGGTAGAAAAAATTTTCGATCATACCATGACCAGCCAACAAAATCACGTATATCACGATTTTCTGTTATATCATTGAAACTTGATGGTACCGGCATACGTTCATAATGATCATCAATCTTTAATTAAAATTATAATTAATCAATTGATTAGTTTTTGTTCTTTTTTTTCATTCAAAATTGATTAAATTACCAAATCTAATGATTTATTGAACCAATCATGTTGAAAACCATATAATTCATTATTATATGAATAATCAGTTATACGAAATGTCCAAACACCATCCAATGACATTGTTTGTCGTGTTTCAGTTGGCCATGGATATAATGCTAATGAATCATTTGTTTCATAGAATTGTAGCTGAATTATTATTGTGAATAAACAACAAATTACATGGTAAAGAAAAGACATTGTTTGGAGAAATTAAATTAAAAAAAAAAAAACATTCAAATCAAATCAATCATCAAATGGCAGTAGTGAACAAAATCCAGATTAACACAGGCCTTTTTATTTTGATGGTGAATCAGAAGATTTTTTTTTCTATAAATCCATAGGATTTTCTATACACTAACCATTTCATTATCATCATCATCATAAGTCGTCCAAACAAACATTTTCCTGTTGTCATATATGCGTATATATATATATTATGATGTGATGGTTATTTGTGATTAGTATTAATAAAAAAAAAAAATTTTGGTTAACAACCAACGAATGTTTGGTTTTTTTTTTTGTTTGTTCTCTTTCGCTCTTATTTTGTCCACATTAAATAAATGGTTAACAAAATGAAATGAAAAATAATCCAAATGATGATAATGATGATGATGATGATGACATTGAACTTCGAAACTTTTCAACTTTACATTGATACATACATTGTGCTTTTTTCGTCCATAGATGTCGCATTAATCGATCGACAGTTTTTTTATTTATTTTTTTTTGTTTTGTTCTGTTTACTAAAACACGTATACAAATAGCAAACAACACAACACAACACACAACCAACGTCAGATCGGTTCGTAATAATAAAAAAAATTTGTATCTCTCTGATAAATAAATAGTGCATTCAATACGCATAACCTTTTTGTGGTTCGAATTTCGAATTTATTGTGATCAATCAATTAAATTGATTTAAACCACCATCATATTAATTATCTGTGAATTTTTGGACAGAAAAAAAATGTCCAAAATCGAAAGTTGTCATTTTAATGATGATGATGATGATGATAACGATAATGATGATGATGATGATAATTCATTGAAATCGAATTTAATTATTAAGAATGATGAACACGATAAAAGTGATGATGATGATGATGATGATGAAAATCGGCTACAAATTTTTCGTCAAATTTCCATACCATTACTTGTAGCTGGTTTCGGTATGGTACTTGCCGGTATTCTACTTGATCATATCAAGGTAATTTTTTATTTCGATTTTCCATTTTCATTCATTTTGTATTTCATTTCATTTTCATTTTCTATTTCCAAAGACATCAATTGTATTCATGAATGTGCCTGAAATTTTTATACTTTTACCAGCATTATTAGGATTAAAAGGTAATCTTGAAATGACAATGACAAGTCGTCTATCATCATTGGCAAATTGTGGCCAATTGAACAATAAAAATCGTTTATTAATATTTCGATCAAATATTGCACTAGTACAGGTATGGATTTTTTTTTTTTTTCTGGTGATTTGATTACTTTTAATTTATTATACATTATTTTTACTAACGAATTACTAATTTTTTTTTCTCACATTTGTTCATAAAACATAATATTATGTTCGTATTGTTGTTGTTTTAATCCCGTATGTTTGTGTTTGTTTATGTTTGTCTTTGTTTTGAATTATCGAAAACATTTGAAAAATGGCAAAAAAAAAAAAAAATAACAATAGTGTCAATCAATTGTAATTGGTTTTGCTGCTGCTTTATTTGCATTATTGGCCGATTTATTATATTCATCATATTCAAACATCTTTATTGGCAATTATTATAATCGATCCATAGCATTCAATTACAATCATATACCAATGCTTTGTGCAACAAGTATAATTACAGCTTCATTAACTAGTCTATTGCTTGGTAAATTTTTTTGTTTGTTTGTTTATATTTTTTTTTTTTTAATTAAAATTTTTCATTCATTTTAAAAAATATATACAATATATATATTAATATATTAATTCTTGTTCAACATTTACTACTAACAGCAACCATAATGATAACGGTAATCTGTTGGACAGTTAAACATGATATCAATCCAGATAATGTAGCCACACCGATTGCTGCTGCATTAGGTGATCTTGTTACATTGGCAATTCTTTATTCAATTGCATCCATATTCTATTCCATTATGGGTTTGTAGTATATTTGTGCATATTTCCAATGGATATAATTTTTGTCTATCTATTTTCAGATGAATGGTGGTTTATATTGGTGGCAATCGTTATTATTAGCCTATTGTTAGTCAATTGGTTGGCCAAAGAGGCACGTGCTCATTTATCAACCGGTTCATCACTAGGTATTAAATGTTGGATACCAATGTTTATGGCAATGTTTATATCGAGCTTAAGTGGCTTTATATTAAGCTATTCTGTTATTCGTTTTGATGATATTGCTGCATATCAGCCATTAGTCAATGGTGTTGGTGGTAATATTGCCGCAATTCAAGCATCAAGATTATCATCAAATCTACATATGATACGTACATTTAATCAACGTGATTCACGTAAAAAATTATCCAGTCTAGTCAAACGATTTGATGGACAGAATATGTTGGCTTTTCTCACTGGAAATGGTAAATATATAAATGATAAGAAAATGAAAATGAAAAAGAAAATCTAATTTTATAATCATCATCAATTCATTGAAATAGATGTGCATTCGATCTCGGCTCAAACATTATTATCTGTTGTGATACCATTTCATTTGATATTTTTTGTTCTACTAAATCAATTCAATGGTTATCAACATCCAGCCAAAAATGTGTGGCTATTTTTATTCCTTTATCTGATTTCAACATTTACACAGGTTTTTATTCTGCTATTTCTTACCGGTATTATAATTATGAAATTATGGAAATATGGCCTTAATCCTGATGATTCATCTATACCATATTTAACAGCATTTGGTGATTTATTTGGTACCATATTGCTTACTATTGCCTTCTATTCATATGAATATTTGTTGAAATTATTGTGAGAAAAAAAAATTTGACCAAAACGATCAAGTATTTCAAAAAAAAATGCCTTCAATTTATGGAATTATAATTGAAATTTGTGTCTTTTTTCAAAATAATAAATCTACATATATAATGCATAATAAATAATGATGATGAAAATCATGTTGAATACATTTGAATGGCTTGTAATGTATAATAAAGATGATCCAGAATTTCTTTCGATTGCTGCTGCTGCTGCTGCTCTTGGTGACCGTTGTGAATTTTTTCCAATTTGTTTTTGATCTTTTATTTGTATTTTATCTGGTATATTGTCTGGTTTGGAATTTTTATCCTTATTTCGGCTATTATAATGTCTATAAAGACGATTACCAGAATTTGTTTCACCATTTTTTCTACTACCATTCATCATTTGAATTTGATTTGTATCAGATGATTGTTGTTGTTGTTGTTTTTGTTTCGTTGTTGTTGATGAACATCGTTATTATCATTATTATCGACTGATGATTCAGTTCCAGTTGGTGGCAGTGTTTCACTAATGATTGAGGATGATGATGATGTTGTTGTTGTTGTCGTTGTCGTTGTTGACGATTCCGTTGTTGGTATTGCCGTCATTTTAGAAGTGGATGATGATTTTGACCAATGTTCATTACCATCATCAATCAATTTTACTATATTTGATTCAAGAAAATCTTTGACAACGATATTAAGCTCATCATTTAATTGTTGTTCATTCAAACCAACACCACCGCCATTACTACCAACAGAATCAAATGGATCATTTGTAGTTGATATGGATAATGCTTCACGATACATTTCCTGTACATAGGTTTGTGGATCAATTGTTGATGGATTTGTTGTAATTGATAATTCTATTGTTTTATCCATTAGATTTGATGATGATGATGATGGTGGTGGTGGTAATGTTTGTACTTCTTGTTGTTGTTCTTCTTCTTGTTGTTTTGGTGATTGTTGATTTTCCAATGTTGATTGAGACGGTAAATTTATCTTTTTTTGATTCTCGAATTGAATTTGTTTATCATGATTTTGTACAATTTCGGATGATTTTTCTGGTACATTTTGTGATGATGATGATGATGAATGAAAATGTCCAATCATTTCAGCTGCAATGATTGATGCAGCTGCAGCTGCTTGTTGTTCAACATCAATAAATTGAAATGATTGTGTTAATTGGTTATTTATTGATTTTGATTTCGACGATTTCGACGACGATGATAAAGGTTCATCGTGTTGTATGGATGTTAAAATATAATCATCTTCATCAATCCATTGTTGACCATCATTTGGTAAAATTGTTGTTGCTTTTGTTGTCATCGTTGTTGTCGTTGCCGATTTCATTGTTTGTGAATCTGAATTACCGGTCATTATTATCATTTTATCATCATCAAAAAAATTTTCACCCAAATCAATTTCTTCACTAGGTGTTGTTGGCAATATTGAAAATTCTGTTGTTTGTTGACCATCCAGATTATTATTATTATCATCAATTATATCATCATTATTATCAATCATATCCATATCTAATGATAATAATGAATCATCTGTATTGAATTGTTCGGCACTATAATCTAAAATGGATGTTTCGTTAAATTGATCAATAAATTCCAGATCATCATCATTATCTGTTGATAATAATCGTGTGGATAATTTAGCATGTGGACAATCAAGTACCGGTGCTTCATTTTCATCATTAAAACATGGTTCTAGATCACATGGATTATAGCATTGACCTTCATCACCAAACGGTATGTTCGGTGTTATTTTCTTGTTGAATGGAATATTTGGATCTATTTTAATTGGTTGAATGATTAAAAAATTAATTTCAATTTGAAAATTAATCATCAATCTTACCAATACAAAGAAATACCGGTTCACCAGCATATTGACCTTTGCCATATGGATGAAGATGTGGACATTTTTGTTGTACTTGTTCACAAACACTTTGACATGGTTTAATAAGATTACCATTCAGATGGTATGGTATGATAACTGAACAAAGCCAATCTCTATATGCTAATTTACAATCACGACATGTCCATACAACTGACCATTTAGCTTGACAATCATAACGATGTAAAATGGATTCATATTCACATGCTAAATCTTCAACAAGATTATCTAATACAAGTAATTCTTTCAATATTCGAGAACAATCAGTAGAATTTATAACTAATGAATAAAGATGTTTACTTAGGCTACGTTCGACTAAAAAACGACGACATGATCGTAGATGAAGATTTTCCAATAAATCTTTACGCATTGTTCGACGATCAGTATGACACATTTCATCAATCAATGATTCATTTAAATATAAACAACGTTGAAATGTCATTGTTTTACGATTTTCTTCTTTAGTCATTGTTTCTACACGTGATATACTCATCAATTCATCAACAGTTAAACTTGCGCCTGGTATATGTTCAGCAAGTAATTGTTTTTTTAATTTCAATTTACGTTCACAATGTATGGATGGTTGAAAACAGCGATTACATCCATCGCCATCTGGATCATCACATGTATCAATTTTTTCTTTTTGATCATCACGTGTATAATATTGGTCATGTTGTTGTTGTTGAGGATGATGATGATGATGATGATATTGATCAGTATCATAATAGATATTTGTATCTAAATCAACATCGAAATCATCAACATTTTCTTGATATTGATCATTGATTTTTGATTGATCACGAACAATAAATTCTTTATGTAACCATGGACTATGATGAAATCTTAATGGCCATTCATTTGTTTGTATTAAATCATTACCATTCGATACTACTGTTGTCGATTTAATTGGTTCAATAATAATGATCAACATTGATGACCAGTAAAACCAGAATTCATTCATTATTCGAATAATTTTGATTGCCATAGACAACAACAACAACAACAACAACGACAACAATGTTGATATATTTAAATTGTTGAAAAAAAAACCATCAAAACATTCATTAGAAGAATAGATTCTGAGCCAAGTAAAGAGAAAAAAAATTGTTCCAATTCCGTTAGGAAATTACTATATATATAATGAATTCTTGAATCACGCATGTCCTTTTTATATATAAAAAAAATTGTATATACAGAATATTCCAGTCAAAATTCAATTTTATGAATGTCCAGAAATTTTTTCATTCATTCATTCAATTACAATTTTGAAGTAAATTTGAAATCAAAAAAATTTTTTTTTCTTCAAAAAAAAACAAAAGAAACAAAAACAAAATTGGAATTTGGCAATAGAATTCATGTTTTTCTATTCTGTGAATTTATGTGCTGAATTACTGCGAGATTGTAAATGTCATTTGTGTCTGTGTGTGTGTGTTTATACAGTTATTACAAAAATATGTTTGCACGTTTTAATCGAGTTAGTTGGAAAAAGAGCAAAAAAAAACATTGTCACTAAAGAGTTGTGTATGTGAAATATTTTTTGTGTGTAATATTTTTTGTTATAATGCGAGAAAACTCCATCTGATTAATTGATTGATTTTTAGCCATTCAGTTCTGTTATATATATCAATAATAAAGTTTTGCTGCCATAAATGTATCATTATTTTGTGTGATCCAAAAACTATGATATTCTTGATAACTGATGGAAATCTTTTCACTTGTATAACGTGTTAATCGAATATCTTTTCGTATCTGTTCATTAATCTGGCCACGATATCCACCTTTACGTAATAATGAATCAATGGTTTGTAAGTGATTCCAATCTAAAATTGTGAAATAATTTTTAACAATTAAAAAAAAAACAGTTAAAAAAAATTAAAACACAAATCATTCATACTTTGTTCAATGGCCACTTCAGGCAAATAAGTTGCCGTACGTTTCATGCCATTTTCATTACGAAATTCGATACGAATTCCGTGTACACCGATTATCCAATCCATATAATCATTACCATCTTCAAAATTCAACAATAATGAAACACAGACATGCAGTCTATTGAATTCATCCTTGGTTATTGGTTTAAAACGACTATCTCGCAGTGCACTAAACAGAAAAAAAATTATTAATTACAAAACAAAAAAAAAATAATAATTGGTCATCATCAACAACAACAACAAACCTTGATAATGCATAATCTCGTAGACCATTATGAAGTGGTATGGCCGTAAATGTACCAATACAACCACGTAAACGTTTTTCATTACCAATTTTCCATGTAACAAATAATGGACTAATAATGAAATATTGGTTAGAATTGAAAAAAAATATTTAAATTTTCAAAATATTTTTTCATCTCATATCTTGAACACATACTAAGAATTATTAGTAAAATCAGGCCGGCCAGGCGGTTGTTTATGATAAAGATGTGCGTATAATACATCGAAACAAAAGAAACACATTTCATTCGATGCAACCAATGATGTTGTTGATGATGATGATGATGATGATTGTTGTTGTTCTTGTAGTGATTGAATATTGATTATAGTTTGCTGCTTCGGTATCTTTGACAATTTATTATTATTATTATTAGCCGAATTTGAATTGAAATTATTATTGTTATTAGTAAAGGTTGATTGATTATCATTGATTGGATATTTTTTAATAATTGTTGAAATTCTTTCATTTCCATCATCATTATTATCACCATTATTAGCAACATCATCATCATCATCATCATCATTATCATTATGGCCATTATTGTATAATAATCGATTTGATTGATAATGATTACGATGATTATTAGCGTTGTTGTTGTTGTTGTTATAATAATGATGATTATTCAGATTCGAACGTCGAAATTCATTTTTACGAAATTTTTTATTATTAATACCACCACCACCACCACCATTCGTACAAATTGATTGATGATGATTATTATTTATGTTGTTTTGTAGCAAATTCTGTTGTTGTTGTACATTGCCATTATGATTATGATTATTGTATTTAAAATTATTACTCATATTATTGTTCATCATGAAAGATTTTCTATTAATCTTGATTCTAGGAAATTTCCTTTTTCTTCTGATCGTATCAACCGCCCTTTCCAAATCAACAAATTAAAGAAAATTCTCGAATTAACCAAAAAAAAAGCCAATACAAATATACACGACAATAGAGAGAGAGAGAGAGAGCAAGAGAGAAGGCAAGAGGTATATTAAACAAAGAACAAGAAAAAAAAAGTTTTTGTTTAAGCAGGTAATTATATTAATGAGATAGGTAGATTGGTTATCATCAATATGTAGTAGTAGTAGTGAATTTTAGTGAAGTTTTTATTTTCATTAAGATTTTCAATTCAAAATCAATTTTTACGGATCAAAGCAACGAAAAGACAAAATGAAACAAAAATGGTGTTTCCAAATCGAAAATCTTCAAGCTAAACGTAATCAAACGATGTTCTAGAATATTCATAATAATGGATTGTTAATTAATTGTTGAAAAGACAACATGAATATTGGAATAAAAATCACTTACATTACATCCGATCCAGATGAATCAATCTTTATCAATCATACATTTTAATGATTAAAAAATTTCTAAATTCATTTTCTCTTTATATAAAAACAACTCATGTTGAGAGATTCTAGGATGTAGATCAAAATACAATCAATATTTTGATTGGTTGGAGATCTTGATATTTCGAAGCAAAAAATTGCCTTTTTGTGGTGTTGTGGTTGTTGGGTGGTTCTAGCAAACGAAAATTTGATGGCCAAAACTTTTCTTTTATTTTTTTTCAAATGAAATTACAACGATAAGTGAGGACCGAAAAGAAATTGTTATAATTTTTTCTTGCTCAAATACAACAACGACAAACGAAAATCTTCCCGAATGTTGTTGATTCGATTTTTCACTTCCATTCGATTGATCTATTGGCTACTGTGGAAAAATGGAAAAGAATTTTTAATGTATTTATTCATTTTGAACAAACAAAAAAATGAAACATACCCACGATTCAATCCGTTTGAATCGTTCCGAATCCGAACAATCAATTCATTACTTTTCGAATAGGCTTCTCTTCACTATCCTTTGGTTGTTTTTTTTCGGACGACACCAAAGTCTCTGTTTTGTTGTTGGATCACAATTAATATTCGAGACTTTGAATTTGTATCAAATTTTTGTTTTTGGCCGTCGTCGTTGTTGTTGTTGATCTTGTTTTTTTTGTATTTCGTTGTATTGGTATTGGTCAGCAAATTATCAATAAATCATCATTTTCATCGTGATTCATCTTGAGAATTATATAATTCATCAAGAATGTGCATTCAATTTTAAATATTAAGAATACATTTTCGTCATTCAATCAATCAAAACAATACAATTCATTCACATACACACACACTCAAACCAACCACCACACACACACACACACAATCGTTATTCAATCAGATCGAAGAAAGTCAAACAAATCTTCGGAAACAAACTCAAAACTAGACAAACACACACACACACACACACAATGACTAATGACGAACGAATGAAAATGAAAACGAAAACGAGAAAAAAAAATATTACGACGAAATTGCCATACACAACATAACCAGACTTAACAAGATTCATTGATTATTACATAGAGAATGCGCAGTTTAATTTTTTCTATTTTTTCTATTGTTTTTTTTTCGTATATGGATACAGACAGACACAGAATGCAATATTGCAACACCATCAACCATAAAAACACATACAAATCAAAAAGTCCTTGTTGTGTGATGAAAAAAAAAAAAATTGTGTCAAACTCTCATCATCGTAACATTGTGTGTGTGTGTGTGTTTATCCTTGCCATTTGGATACAGTAGCAGTGTCATCTAGCTACAAAAGTTGAAAGTTTTTTATTCCTTTTTTTTCTCTGTCTTTCTCTGTATTTCATTTCTTTTTTTTTTTTTTTGCTTGCATACCAATTGATGCAATATATATGATATATGAATATTGCAATTTGATTCTTGTGAATTTGAAATTTTCGAAAATAATTCGAAGGACAAACAACAACAGCACATCATCATCATCATCATTAAAATATATTTATCGGTAATCATTTCGTAAACAACATTTCAACAACAAAAAATAATCCTTGACAATTCTTGACAATTTATGGATTTATGGATGGCAAGTTTTTTTTTCCAAAGAATTTATGGCTGTCATTTTTTTTTTTTTTTTTGGTTCGTTCATTAATTTTAATTAATGATGTGTATTTATATTTTTTACAAAGGCTGTTGTTGATTAGTTGGGTATTGGTCAAATCATTTTGTCCTGAATGTTTTTCGTTTGTTTTGTTTTGTTTTGGAAAGATAATGATGTTATATATTATATAACATCATCAATGACATCTGATGGTTAAAAAAAATTTTTTGTTTTGTTTCGAACCGTTGAAAATAGATGGCGTTGAATGGTGAATTTTTTTGCGTTTTTTTTTTTTCGTTGATCAAATCAATAAATAATTTTTTTTAATAATAATAATAAAATAAAAAAGAAAAGTAAAACAATGCCATAATCATAAATTATACAACAAATCTTTAATATCATTTATATATGATGATATGATTATTATATCAATCTATATATATGCAATAATAAATGAAACAATTGATGATATTATATAAATAATATTTTGGAATAGATTTTGGAACAGAACAGGAAAAAAAAGGATGAACGAAATTGTTTTTTTATTTTATCATCACCATCACCATCGTAATCATCATTTATTAAAGCTCAAACAACAACAGCAGCAGCAGCAGCAACGATGGACATAATTTTTTTTTTTTTGCAAATATGGTCACATCTGGCCCATTTATTGATGTGATCATGAATGATATGGTGACACAATAATCGAATAATTTTCATAACAACAACAAAAAAAAAATAGCAAGCAGCGAATATGAATCTGATTTTTTTATTTTATTTTTCATGATATAACACAGAAAAAAAAGGAGATTCAAAAGGCAATTTATTCAAAATTTAATTGTTTGTTGCCAACCATTATCTATTTCGAAAAAAAAATCTCCAATGATTACGATAATAATAATAATGATGATGATGGTAGTGGAATTATATATTCCTGATGCTATGTAATAAATATTTTTCCGTTATTTATAAGGGTTTTCGATTCGTATGGCAATTTTTTTTTCTGGCTTCCAATATCGATTGAATGGAATTGAAACTAGAAACTAGAAAAAAAAATGCGAAAGTAGTAGTGAATTTTTTTTTTTTTTTTGGCAAATAAAACATGTGAACATAAATTCTACAATATAGAGATGCTATATGGAATAAAAACAGAGAATCAGAAAAAAAATCAAACACATTCATAATGAAAATATTTATTATTCTTCATTCTGAATATTCGGACACATTATATGTGTGTGTGTGTGTTTGTTCGAGATGTTGATGACCGAAATTGTATTTGTACATTTCTTTCACATCGTTTATTATCATTGAATTTCCCGTTTTATTTCATTTTTATTTTTATTTTTCATTTCATTTCATTCTTTCTGAATTGTTTGACATTGATACTGTGTTTATTTTTTTTCCACTGTCGTTGTTGTTTTTTGTTATTTTTGTATTTGTGGACCTAATTTTATTTTCTTTATTTTGATGTTCCACAAGTCAAATGTCAAATTTGTTTATTTATTTATTTTTATTTTTCTCTCTGTTACCCGGATACCCGTTTTTTTTTCTCTCTCTCTCGTTTGGTTCGAGTTTTTGTTATGCAATGTTTAATGTGAATGATGGTGTATTGATTCGTACCAGAAATAAAAGACAAAGAATAAAGAAAAAAAACAGATAACAAAATGAGAGAAAAGAAAAAAAACCGGCCTGTGTGATATGTGTGTTTTGGTCATTCATTCACTGCAATAGAACGATCGAAAGCGAAGATTTTTTTTTTTTTTTTTTTTTTTTGGAAAAATCAAATCAATCGAAATAGATTGTATGAAATCGAATAGCCACACATAAAACGAGTGTTAAAGAAAGCTAGAAAAAGAGAAAAAGAATATGGAATTGAAAGTTACACAAACACATACAGTGGACAGATGATAATCTGGTTTTCAAACAAAAAAAAAAAAAAAAAATTCTGTGTATGTGTGTGTGTGTTGATTCTGTCAAACAATAAAAATTCAATGTATGAATGAATGAATGAATGAATAAATGAATAAATGGGGAGGAAGTAGAGAGGTGGAACCGATTTTTTTTTTTTTTTTTTTTTTTTTTTCTGGTTTCTAGAGTTATCTATAGATATTCGATATATTGATAGATGAACAATTTGTTTATGTGTGTGTGTGTGTGTGTAGGGCAAATATTTGCCGTTTTTTTTCCTAAATCTAATCTTGATAAAACGTTCGTGTTTGTTTCCATTATTTAATCAGACAAAATGAATTTGTCGTTATATTTTTTGTTTTCGTTTCAATTTTTTTTTCGGTTTTTTTTTTTTTTGGTTTTGTTTTTCCAATAGATTTTCACATCGAATCGAATAAAATTAATCTCTTTATTTACAACGGTAAAAAATTGTCGTTTTTTTTACCATTGCCTGTCGTTGTTTTTGCTATTCAATTATCATTATTATAACCAAGAGGAAAAGAAAAATGAAAACCACAAGATTTCCATTGAATTTCACACTATTTTCTACATTTTTTTTTTGTTCTACCACCGTTCGTTTATTAATTATGACAAACGCACGCATTTTATTTTGTAATAAGCTATTAGATTGATATTCGATCCAATTGAAAATCATTTGATGTTTTATTTGGAATGGAATTGGTGTTTTGTTTTGGTAGTAGTGGTAAACATCATCATCATCATCATCATTTGAACGAAATGAAGAAAGAAAGAAAAAAGTAAGCAAAAAATCAGGATGATTTTTTTTTCGTTGATTGGAAAAATTGGATCGATGATAGGAATGTTGGATTTCTTTTGGGTTTTTTTTTCTTTACTTTCATCCATACCGAATGATGCATGATACGATTTAATGAATATATATATATTGAATAAAGAGAATTCACTCTCTCTTGCTCTTCATTTTTTTTTTTTTTTTTGATCGGACAATAAATTGTGAATGTATCCGAGTAGTAATCACGTATGGATACATTCATTACATACCAAAAGAAAAAAAAATCATCAAATAAAAAATTATTTCATCAATGAAATTGGAATCATTTCAATTCAGTAATCAAATATCGGTGAATTCCTTGACATGTAATATATAGAAAAAAACATCTTCATCTTAATATATATATATATATTTATACTGAGATTGATGAATTCAATTTGATGATGTGTTTATATTTTCAACAAACAAACTAAAAAAGTAAAAGAAAAAAAATTTTTTCTTTTTTCGGACATTCACTATAAATGGTAAAATACACAAAAACACACTTACACACACACACACACACACAGTTGTTGTTGACATTAGTTTTGTGTATATACACGATATACGATTGGACCAAAAAAAAAATGGAACTGAAACCAAAACATCCAAAAACAAGATTCTGGTTAAAAAGAATTTCAATGAAAAAAAATGGATAGGTATATATTTTTAACTCATCATGTAAAAAATAAAAAATAAAAAATAAAATCCAAATGTAAATTCAAAAATTCTTTGATTTCTCTTCATTCTATATATATGTGTATATGTGTACCTGATGTTGATTTGTGTATTATATAAATCAATAAATTATGAATGAAATTGGGTGAATAATTGAGTTATATAACGTATTAACGTTATTTTTTTTTCTTCCAGTTTACCTTACCATTCTAATAGTTTGAAAAAAAAGAAAAATTTGTTTACGAATGTCATCACATTGTTTTTCATTTATTTATTCTGATTTTCATTTTTTTTTCTCTCGTCCTCTATGGTGATAATATAATGGTGGTTGTCATTGCAATATTATTGAACATGTATATTATTATAAAGACATGAAAAAAAAATGAAAAATTGAAAAAAAATGAAAATTGAATGGAATTCAATGATGATGATGCTTGAGAATTCTTTTTTATTTTTGCATTCAATTCTGATTGCCATTGTGTCATCTTTTTTTTCACATCCATTTTTGTTGTTGTTGTTGTTGTTGTTCATGTGAGAATCATCATCGTTTACATTTGTGAATTCTTCATTCGAATTATTTCTTTGATTATTTTTGGTTTTCACTCTTGATATTGTGTGTGTGTGACATATATAAACACACGCACACATTAGTGTTGTCTGGAAGAAAAACATAACAGTGTTATTTTTGTTTTGTTTTCATTTTTTCAAAAGAAAAATAAAATTCATCATTTTTTTTCACTGTCATTCAGTTTGTTTGTTTGTTGTCTGTCTGTCTGTACAGGATGGCCAGAATCGAGCAAAAAAAAAAAAAAAAACAAAAAAAAAAACATCTGCTAAATTGTGTAGGCGTTGAACACCAAAACACACATATAGTATAGACGAATTGAAAAAACAAAATCAAACAGGAAACCGGATACTGGAAATGAAATTTTTTTTGTTGTTGTTGTTGTTCATTTCAAACATTCTGTTTTCGGTGTGTGTGTGTGCATTTTTTTC